CAAAAGCTAGCATTGGCAAATGCTCAAAACAGGCATAGCCATACACCATATCTGAAATAAACTGAACGCCGCCCGCAGGTGGTTCATCGCTAGATCACATCACTTATCCCCACAGGTTCACTGGTCGAGTGCCGATAGACCTTTGCTGGACTGGCGCGGGGATGCCCTGTTGTCAAACAGATCTTGTACATCATGGCGCAAGACGAAAGCAACTGTCAGTGTCATGACCGGTTTGTTGATGGTATGCACAGTACCTAGTATGGTCATGCTTAAGGAAAGGATCAGGTAAAGGCCGTCGTTCTAATGGTTTAGATGTCCTTTCCGGATTAAGGCCTCTAGAGCTTTGACAAAGGCCATATAAAGTGGGTGAAACCCTCTTGAACTCGGGGTGGATATTTGGCCGTTTGTGAGCTACTTCCGACGCACCGGTGAATGGGTAATTTTTTTGATGTGGTGGTGGTGACCATGCCCACTTCAAAAGATCTTGCAGCTGCATCACCACTGGTGTCGCATTCGAACTGTGGAATAACGCCCTGGGCTGCTCCTTCTCCTGGTCAAGAAAGCCCTGCTTCATGCGCTCGATCTATACTCCCATCTCATGTAAGTCTGAAAAGTGGGGAAGGGGAGAACGATCAATTTTCTGCATAAGCTTGGGCTGGAGATTGCGCACAATCATCGAATTTGACTTTTGCAGTAGGCCTAAGGGTCATCATCGAGGCCTTGGCCCTCCAGTGGCTACGAAATCAAAAAACCCTCCTTAGGCTCTTGCCTTGTTGTCTCAAAGATCACGGGTTGTGACCTCGATTTGCGTGTTATAGAGTACTACGCAACGAAGGCCTCGACATCTCATCCCAGTTCCGTTTGACATCGTCTTCTAGTTGCATACCAGATAGCGGCCACACCCGACAGGGTCCGGCCGAATAATGAAGTTTTCTGCAGCCTGGTGAGGCCCATCGGCCTTAGTATGTCCGAAAACAACGAGGTGCACTATGGGATCGCCAGATCCATCAAATCGATCGATGTGTGGCATCTTAAATCTGTCCGGCGCGTCACAGCTGCATGGTAACCCCGTCCCAATGTCCGATGATTTTGCTCCCTGAGATTTCTTGAACATCTTTTCTAGCTTGCTCACCTTCAGCGTTGTAGGTCTAACTCGAACTCAAATGGTGAATCCGGCAGGTTGATCGGTTTGCTTAGACAGCTGGGGTAAGATTGGGGGCGGAGCCGTCTTGTCGGAATGTTTGTATCTCCCTGGACATTTGTGCCTCCTCGGATGCTGGAACTCCTGGTGGGGAGGGGCTTGTGCGAAGCAAGATGCTCCATTTTGCTGTGCAGCCTGGTGATTAGCTCAGCCTGCTGGGCCATGATCGCAGCCTGCTGTTTGGCAAATTCCATTTGCCGGGCAGGTCTTGCTGCATGAGTTTCAATACTTTCTTGGAGTTGACGGCATCATTTCCTCATCCTGCCATGTTCTGCCGTTCCGACTGACTGACTGGTGAGGTGACTAAAAACTGAGGCCTCAGCCTGACATTCACTGGTAGGTGGATTAAGGGCCACTGATCTGGTAACTGTTGAACCGATGATCTGTGCTAACTGCCCCTTTTTACCCTGCCTCTGCGGAGGAACATTGATTTGTCCTTGAACTGAATCTCTGACTCTGACAAAGTCTATCAGCACAAGTCCGATGAACCTCGGGGGATATCGGAGCCTTCTGAAGCTATGGTTCCAAGACTACCCCCTAGCAAAAGAGAAAACATGCACATCTCAGCCTGATTTTACCCTTGAACAAGATATGAGCATAGTTGAAATGAGTGTGCTCTCTACTGAATTCTGCCCAAAATTCTACCGGTGAACTGATACTCAGGTAAAACTATTCCCTCGATACTGATGCCCGCAGGCCTGAATCCCAGACTTGAAACTGTACAGCATTCCTGTAGAGACGCACCTCTAAAAGCACATAACAGCAAGTGAAGAGCCAAAACACCCCTATGTTGGGGT